ATTAAACACTATAGATATCTGTGCAGTTCATCTGTTTGACGTTGTACTTCAAGTCTGATATTTATTTGTTAAATTTTTCCTGGTTAAGCTATTTATAAGAATGCCAATTTGAATTAACACAAGTATGATTGTATTCATGATTATCTGACCTTTGATGTCCACTGGTATCATTTGTTTCTGTAAAGTTTGGTTCAGGCTGAAATTTAATTCACTGTGTAGCCCAAGCTGGCCTTGAACACACATTGATCCTCTTGCCTCAGCCACTCAAGTGCTGAAATTACAGATGTCTGCCACTGCGCTTGGCAGGTCTGGTAATATTTGTTGTAGGGAGTTGGGTGCATCAACATTCGGTGCATATGTATTCACAATTATTATCATTTTCTGCTGAATTGTTCCCCTTATCAGTATGTAATAAATAACCTTCTAGGTCTCCTCTGATCAGTTTTGACTTGAAATCCACTTTATCAGAATATAGCATAGCTACTCTTCCTTGCTCTCAGGCTCCTTTTGCATGTAGTAATATTTTCCATTCTTTTACTTTCAGTTTATGTGTTTCTTTATGGGTGAGATGTGTCATTTGTAGGAAACATATATTTGGGTATTGCATTTGGTCCAATATACCAAAAGTCTAGGTCTTTTGATTGGGGAGTAAAGACCATTTACATTGAGAGTTATTACTAAAAGTTTTTTTTTTTAAACTGGATCCTGTTGTAATTATTTTCCATTGTTAATTCCTTTCTAATTTTTATTTTTTACTGCCAGTTAGACATTCATTTCTTTGGCATTTTTGCAATCTTGATTTCATTCTCTTTGTCTAAGATTCCTTTGATTATTTTCTACAATGCTGGATTGGTAGTCATGAGCTCATTTAAATTATCTTTCTCATAAAATTTTTACTTGTTAATTTTCATGATAATTTTGGAGGATACAATAGTCTTAGTTGGCAATTATTTTCATTTAAGTCTTGAAACACTTTGTTCCAAGCTCTCCTGTACTTTAAAGTTTGTAATGACAAACCTGTTGTTGTTGCAATAGCTTTCCTTCATAAGTTACCTGATGTGTCTCTTTAAAAAGCTTTAATATTATCTCTTTGTACTGAACTTACAGGATTTTAACTCTGGTGTGTCATGAAGATGCTTTTTGTGTTTTGGTTTGTTGTTTTTTGTTTTTTTTGGTCATGTCTGCTTAGGATTATCAGCCTCTTTTATCTGGATGTTTTATTGATTACTTAGATTTGGGATATTTTGTGATATGATTTCAGTGACTGTATTTTTATACATTTTGTATCATTTTAAAATATTTCCTTAACTTTCATAATTCTCAGTAATGGTGATGGTTTTTCCACATCTCACATCTGTTGGATTCAGATTTCAAGTTTCTTGTTGTCTTTAGGGCACTTCTTAGGAGATGATCTATGACATTAACCTTGTAATCTAGTTCCTATGTTTTCTCCTCACATTGGTTGTTCTTGCTGCTCATTCTTCCAATGTAATTTATTATATGCTGGATTTCTGATTATTTTCGTAGTTTAAAATAATCAGCTTTTTTGTTTGTGTCTTCTTTAATCTCCTTAAACATTTTTTTAATTTAGATCCTTTTAGGACTCATTAACTTATGGATTTATTGTTTCTTCCTTGATCTATTCAAAATTTTTAACCATTGTTTTTTTTAGTTCTTGGTCCATGACTTCTGTTCCTTTACTAGCTGTAAGATCAGTTCTTGAGTAGTTGAGAGTTTGGGGAGACACTCTGCTACCTTGTTTGCTGTTATTTTGTACTGAATGTTGAGGATCACTTAAAGTAGAAGGATTCTATTGCTATTGAGGAGATTTCCTTAGTTAGTGTCTGTTTCCCTCTGATCGGATCTTGTTTTTCATTACTTTTGTATTTCCACATATTTTTGACCTATTTAACATGATAGGATTAATTGTGGTCACTAATTACTGGAATAATCACTGCTAGTTCTATTTGCATCTGTAGAACCAAACACATATCAATCAAGTGTTCAGTGAAAGGAAAAAATGAAAAGAAATGGAAGAGAAAAAATGAAATTAGTCAGCACAGATACCAATGATGAATACAAGAAAATGCAGAAATAAAGAGTTCTCTCAGTTCTAGTCAAACCACAATCAGAATTTTATCAGTGCTCCTCCTGTCTTCCCAAGTGGAGAAACTTTGATTTGCAGTGGGTGTGGAGGGCTGATTCCAGGAGGTTGGATCTCTCTACAGCTGCTGGCAGTGTTTCCTTTCCTATTTTTTTTTCTTGCCTCTCAATAAGTGAAGAAGCCTGGGGCTCAGGACATTGATCCTCCTTCTCAATCCCTCTACAGGCAGTGTTCTGCTTGGTTTCAGTTACACTCCTGTAAGCATGGCTATCCAGAGGTTGTGTGGATACCTTCAATTGTGTCATGGAGTGCAAAGTGCCACTGTGGCTGGTCAATTATCTGGACTTCTGCTGATTTGTAAAGGAGCCTTCTACATCTCTGTCCTCTTTCTTCCACAATAGTCTCTGCAACTCATATAGATTTTCTAGACCTCTCCAGGTGATGCTCAATCCCCTGTGCATCCCCTGAGACCACACTGTTAGTCTTCAATTCTCTGTTTGTATCAAACTCTTTGTGAACAACCTATGAAAATCCTCTACCCAGCCTGCAAACTCAGTGGTGCCCAGGGTTCTCCGAGCTCAGCAGCTTTTGGCTGGTATGGACACTGAGCTTTTCAGTGTTTAATGTGGGCAGGATATCCTGGGGTAGACACAGAACTCACCAGTTTTTGGTGAAGCAGTTGGGAGAGTATGTATGTAGACCCTGCTCCAGTGTCTTTTCTACTCCTCTTGGTCACAGCAATTGCCCAGCTCTTTAACTCACTGAATCATGAATCTCTCAGTGTTTGGTTCCATGTCTCTAATCAGGACAGTGCCCTTGTTTCTTTATTTCCTAAGGGTCCCACAGTTCTAGCTCAGTTATTGTCCTCTGAATGATGTTTTTAATTTCTATACTGTCCTAATGTGTAAATATCATGCACATTGATTTACCTCTACCAGTAAGAAGAGACTTAGGCAGGTGGGCACTGAATGGTGGTTACTAGACTTGGCACAGATCTCAGCAGCCTGTCTACAACTGCCATACACATCTTCTTCCCTAGTGGAGTCAGATCTTTACTCATCATATCATTTTCACCAGACTTCAAGTGTAAGTAGTGTCATGCTCAAGGGGAATCCCTGTTTCTTTTTCTTAATACCCCCATACTTAAATTCATCTTATGGGTTTCTCTTTCAAGTTGCTGTTCCATGTTTGAGTATTTGTTTGCTTTGCATTTCTAAGTACCTGCATTTATTGATGCATGTCTTCTCAGTGCTCCTGAGTGCCACAGCCTCTAGTCAGTCAGGATGGATCTCTCAAATTTTCCTTACCCATTTGTCTGTAGCTAACACTTAGACTGATTCCATAATTTTTCCTACTTTGAGAGTTGCCTCAATAGACATGAGTGTGCATTAATCTCTCATTTATTGGTTTCATTTCCTGTGAATACATGCCCATGAGTGACCTAGGGCGGTTATATTGCAGCTTTATTTTAGATTTTGAGAAACCTGTATACTGGCTTCCATAATGATTTCACTAATTTACATTCCTATTAACAGTGTATAAATATTTCTTTTTCTCCATATTCTCAGCAACATTTCTTATTTGTTTGTGCTTCAATGATTTATAGATCATAATAATTCTCATTTGATGAAAGATATGAGAACTTATAGTAATGTGTAGTTCTAACTGCAAGACAACATAATACAATCATATATCATTTCTTTCTAGGTCTAGCTTATGCATATTTTTTAGCCAATACATCTTTTCATAGCATAATTCTATTTGCTTTTCAAATTTTGACTTTTACAAAATCCATGATAAATTTTGATAATAGATTAGCGAGAAAGACCAAAAGATTCTCCAAAAGATTAGCAATAATAAAGACGCTGTAGATTTAACTAAGAGATTGGAAATGGGTCTACCTTTTAATTTTTTTATTCCAGTACCAGGGACCTAAGTTAGGACCTTGTCCTTAACAGGCAGGAAACTGAAATCACTGAGCTAAATCCCAGGCCCTGGATATGGGTCAACCTTTTAAATGTTATGAAAAGTGTTATTTTTGAAGCAAGTTGGAAGTGATAAGCACAGAAAGGATCTAATATCTGATTATAGCTTTGTAAATAGTGCGTAATAACATCACCAATTGAACCGGAGACTACTGGATTGAACAAAGGCAGTTTAAGAAGTGATCTGATGTCTGCAAGTGGACACAGAAATTCAATTAGGAGTTAAAACACACATCTAAAGCTGAGGAAACATCACCACATTATTAAATTACTGCAACTGAAAGCATTGGTGAGGGAGGCAGTATGATTAAGAAGAGTAAATATTACATTTAAAAAGAGCAGGAGCAAAGAATCCCAGGAGAAAAAGAGTAAAGTGAATCAATAGAAATGATAAGGAAAACTCTTAGATGTTGGATTATAACTAAAATTTTCTGAATAAGTTCTGCACCAAAATATACAGAATGTGCTTCTATTTGTTTACCATATAATGCTTTTGGGATATTGTATTTACTTTTCACTCTAAAAAATAAAAAACTGAATCTCCAGAGTTTAAATAATTGGTACGAGGCTATCAATAGGAATGGCTTATATCAACTCGGGTCTGCCAGGATCCGAAGCTAATTCTTCTCCCATTACACCATGCTGCTTCTAGGAGATAAGTTTAGACCAAAACAACCTTTCAGGTCAATTATATAACAGCATCATGGGGATTCTAAGGCAGCTGGGTGTGAAAGACTTTATGAATGTGTTTTCAGCTAGTGGTTTTCCTCCATGCAGTTCCCTAAGTCTATTAGAGAGATGGTTATCCTTTCTGCTTTCCGGGTTTTCCTAATCACCTAGAAAGTCCTTGCTCTATTTCCTCTTACCCTGTTATAAGACTTTTTTTTTTTTTTCTGTTTCTCTCTCTCTAGGCAAAAGCAGAAAGAAAAAAAGATCTCCATTATATTACATGTCTGCTCATCAGCAGAACAAATTCCCATGGCTCTCAGTTTCTAATCAGAGGGAAGTAATTTTCCTTTCTCACCTGACTGATTCTCCTACTTGGCTCATGGAGCTGACTGATCCCCAACCCCTCCCTCCAGGTACTCAGTTGAAAGTTTCAGTCAGTGCTGAGATTCACGCATTGAACACTTTACCATTCATTCTCTAAGTTATTTCCACCCAACCCTCACCTCAGTGGAAGTTGTACCTTAAATTTAACACAATTTATGTTAAAAATTGAGGCAACGATGTATTAAAATTGCATGTTTTTTATTTATTCCATATTTATTTTAGAATATATTAAATGGTGTACTACATAAACATAAAAAACAGTGCCACAATCACCATCATCTCTGTTACCATATACCAGTGTGCACCAATATTGTGCTATGCATACCCTGCAACTGTTTTTCATCTGATATATTTACATCTGCCTATATATATATAT